CTTAAATCTGTGATCTATCTCTGCTTAATGTACTATAATAAATTTTATTTTTACATTTACGTTTTGTATTAAAGACGTTCTGAGGCTTTCTCACTCTCAATAAAAAAACAAAACAAAAAAAAAAACACAGCTGGTAATAAGGTGTGGATTTCCACTGCAGGTTTTCACAAAATACAATGTTTTATTTAGGCCTCCTTCCATTGAAATTCCAAGAATCAAACCAAATAACATTCAGCAGATTTCAATATTGATTATGTATATACACTGCTCAAGCAAAAGTATAAAGGGAACATGTAAACAGGACAATATAACTTAATTTAAATCAAACTTATGGGAAATCAAACTGTCCATTTAAAAAGTAATCAATTTCACAGGCTGTCGTGAAAATGGAATAGACAACAGGTGGAAATTATTGGCGATTGGCAAAGCACACTAAATAAAGGAGGGGTTCTGCAGATGGGGACCACAGACCACCAGTCAGTACCTATGCTTCCTGGCTGACTTTTTTTCGTCACTTTTGAATGTTGATGGTGCTTTGACACTTGTGGTAGTATGAGACTGACTCTACAACCCACAAGTAGTAGTGCTGCTCCTCTGGGATGGTACATCATTGTCAGTTTAGTGTCCAGAGGGTGGAGGCGCTACCAGGAGACTGGCCAGTACACCAGCAGATATGGAGGAGGCAGTAGGAGGGCAACATCCTAGCAGCATGACCTCTACCTCCACCTATGTGCAAGGAGGAGCACTGCCAGAGCCCTGCAAAATGTCCAGCAGGCCACAAATGTTTCTGCACAAACTGTTAGAAACGGACTCCATGAGGATGTATGAGGGCCTGACATCCACAGATGAGGATTGTGCTCACAGCCATTACTGTGCAGGAGACTTGGCATTTGCTGCAGAACACCATGATTGGCAAAGTTGCCACTGGTGCCCTGTGCTCTTCACAGATAATAGTTTCATACTGAGTAAATGTGACGCTGGCGACACCGTGGAGAGCTATCTGCTGCCTGCAACATCCTTCAACGTGACCAGTTTGGTTCAGTAATGGTGTGAGGTGGCATTTCTTTAGAGGGCCACACAGCCCTCCATGTGCTCACCAGAGATAGCATGACATCCAATAGGTACAGAGATGAGATCCACAGACCCCTTGTGAAACCATACACTGGTGTGGTTGGCCTTGGGTTCCTCCTGATGCAGGAAAATACTAGACCTCATGTGACTGGAGTGTGTCAGCTGTTGCTGCAAGATGAAGTAATTGCAGCTACGGACTGGACCGCCCGTCCCCCAGACCTGAATACGATTGAGTACATCTGGGACAACATGTCTTGATCCATCCACCAACCTCATGTTCTACCACAGACTGTCTAGTAGTTGGCAGATGCTTTTTTTTCAGGTCTAGGAGGAGATCTAAGACCTGGAATCATCCGGTGCATGCCCAGATTTTGTATACATAGAAGAATGTGGAGGCCACACACAATACTGACCCTCATTTATCCCTGCTCTAAGGACATTACAATAAAGTAGAATCGGTCTTTAGAGTGTTTCCAATTTAATTTTGCATCTGACCGAAATCCAGGCATCCATTGGTTAATACATTTGATTTCTATTGATGATTGTTGTGTGATTTTGTTGTCAGCACATTCAACTTTGTACAGAGCAAAGTATTCAATAAGAATATTTCGTTCATTCGGATCTGGGATGCGTTATTTGAGTGTTCCCTTTATTTTTTTGCAAAAGGTTCAAAGCTTTTGTTTCTGGGCCAAAAGCTTGATTCTGATGCTCGCTGCCATAACAGAATCTGGCAGGAATGGTGAGACTGCAGCAAATGGGGACAAAGACAACACCCAGCTTCAGAACATTTTAACTGTTATACACAAGTTCATATTACAGTTTGCAGCCAATCCCAATCCTTCTCTGCATTGATCATTGGTCAAATTAAATGCAGACGTATTCTGCTTAATGCACTTTAAATGTGTTCTTCCAGCAGATCAAGGTAGATCACATACATGATACCTTTCCGTGCTGCTTTTCTCTGACTGCTGAATAATATGGTTTATTTGATAACTGTTCCCACCAGATGTTAGTGATACCGATGCTCCTCTGCAGGTGCATCATGTTGGGCCAAACTAGTAGGAGAGGGATCATTATTTAAGCCTTTCTGTATATAGATTATATAGATGGGAGAAGACTAACACATCAATCTAGCCTTATTTTTTTAATGATGAAAATTTTTATTGAAATTGTTGGGTAGTAAATTCTAACCAAATGAATGTTTACATTATTTATTTGGGATAATAACTAAAAGGCACTGTAGTAGCTGTTTTCAGGAAACGGCTCAGAAATCCAGTAAAGGACTGAAAAGGAAAAACCTGAGAGTCCTTCTCTAGCCCAGCGGTCCCCAACCTTTTTTGCACCACGGACCGCTATATGTCAGACAATATTTTCACGGACAGGCCGGGGGGTTGGGGGGGATAAAATGATACGACTGGCATTAAATCAAATACAAACAGCATAAAAATAAAACAACATCTAGGCTTAATCGGAGAAAATGAGAGAAGAAGTGTGCTCCTGATGTCCAGTCTGCTCTGTAGCTTTGTTTTGGTCGTAACCGCAGAAAATTCGACTTCACAAAGATGGGATGTTATAAATGAGTCTTGAACTGAATTAACCTGTGTCAAGAGGCACAGATTCACCGACTGATGTAATTGGGAGAGAATACCGCAATTTTTTATATTTTTCAAAATAAAACATTACTCAGACTCTGATCATTGTTAAATTATATGATCATCGATAAATTATATATATATATATATATATATATATATATATATATATATATATATATATACATACATACATATATACATACTTTTTTCTGTGCGGCCCGGTACCAGTCCGTGGCCCGGTGGTTGGGGACCGCTGCTCTAGCTGATCATCTGCTTTCCTGAACCATGATACAAATACTGGTGATCCTGTAGGCCACCATGATAATGTTGTTAATGGTGAAATGGAACAATTTAACTGTGATGTGGAGAAACACTAGATTTTCTAAAAGATGAGTTTTTCAGCAAAACATTTTTAAGGAACTCCAAGGTGTCCCTAAAGTAAGCAGCCAATGGACATAAAGATCCACATAAACAGTAAATACTGTAGGAATTGCTTATTCCTATTGTAACACATGTTCATCATACAAAATATAAACCATCATTTCCTACAGTTCAGAAGGTATTTGTCAGGTATAATTTTTTTTTCTGTACTAATAAAATTTAAACAACTTAAAACTAGAAGACTTATCCCAGCATCACCTGGATTCAATCACCTCAGCATGTGGTTCTGCTCCAGTCAATCCCTGTCAGATCCTCATTTCTCTTCAGCCAACCGTACTATAAGGAACTGCTTAAAGTTCTCCATTCACCAAAGGTCTGATCTTCAGCTGGGCTTCAGCTCTCCTCCATCATGCTCTCAGTCTCCTTCTGGTTTCCTTCTCTGGCCTGTACTCCACCACCAGTGTCTACATTCCGGAAGAAGACATATCTAAACCTAATCTCACAATGATCATGCAAGATCATCGTTCATAGCTTCCATGTCTTCCACTTTTCCACTTTTCCTGTGCGCGAGTCTCTCCAAGCTGAATTGTATGTGCAACCAAAAACAAAGTCAGATTGGATTTGATTTGAAAGGAGAGTCTCATTAAAGGTTCATTGGAGGTACCCTGTCACGTCCAGGAAGGTTCTGGGAGTTTTTTAACCGAACAGTTTATTTTCATTTATATATTTTTACCAGCTTAATAACCTGGAAAGGTTTATATATATATATATATATATATATATATATATGTATATATATATATATATATATATATATATATATATATATATATATATATATATATATATATATATATATATATATATATATAATATAAAGAAATGAGTTGTAGCTGTGTAGAGGGATTTTTTTAATCATTGAACTGCATCGTAACATGGAGTTCACGTTTACCTCATTGTAATTGAGATCTAGTTCATATTTTCTTTTTCTATTTTTTTAGGCTAGAAAAATATATTTATGTTCTCTGTAGTAAAAATGGGACATGAATAATTTCTTTAAACACGCTGTATTTTGACAAATTTAATGAATTGATTAACCTCTTACTTTTTTTTAACCATCAGTTTGAGATGAAGTGAAATATTGTTCACGAAATCATATATTGCGTCTTAAATTCTTGTTTCAAAGGAGTTCATATTCTTTGTGAAAATCTAAACTTTTTCTGTATTTTCTTGAAAAGAAATAGTGGAGGATGTTCTTTTTCCAGCTGGATCATCAAAATTAGTGGTTCCTCTAATTGTCAATCATTCTGGTGATATGTTTACGTAAGGTCATCCTACGTGCTCGTCCCCATTTTCACTTACCAGTGGTGAGTCTGACATAGTGGAAAAATAGCCAATCTACTTTTGGAAAGTAAGCTTGTATGAGCGACGCAAACAGCAACTTTTAAACAGAGTGTGCACAAGGAGAAATGGGCTCATGCACACTCTTACACACATTTAATAGAATTTCCCTCTCAGGAGCAGGTACAGGGTTGTGCATGTGTAATTCTTTTTTTAAGTGGAGAGGGAAGATCTTTTCAAACATTCACGAAAATCTTCCACTATACCTTTAAGTGGTAATCTGGTTTAACTTTCTACTCTGGCTGGCCCTATATGTACTATGTTTGGGAAAGTAGACGTTATCTACTAGCATCAGCTGAGCAACCTTGGATGAGGCTTCATAGTCAGGTTGGTACCAGGAAACAAACATATGTGTAGATTTCAGGCTATATGTATAATTTTGATCCTGTGTGAAATAACATAACCTAAGCTCAATCTAAACATGTCCCTGATTCTTGTATTCAATCAGTTTAAATCTTTTGTAGGTGTATTTTGTTCTCTGTATTTTATAATAGAAATTATTAAAATCTGATCATGCAAAAAAAAAGGAAATAATTTCTTTCTCGGCTTTTTAACACACCTGTATTGTCATTGATGAAGGGAAAAATGCCATGGCTATCGATAATTGAATGGATCTTTTTCTTGTAAATAAACTTGAAATCTTGGGTTTGAGAACAGGCAGGAGAACAAATCAGGTCCATGTAGTATGTCAGAGTGTTAGGCCATTTAGCAATAAAATATGCTCTGTTTTAGTCACTAGAAGGAGCATTTGCTGTCATTTTGAAAACACTACTAGTGAAAGCTGTTTGAAATAAGTTGGCTTACATCAGCCACTGCTGCTTCTCTTTATTGAACTGCTCAGCCCAGCGGCGGGTCAGTTCCAGATAGTGTTCCGGTCCATGTGGCTGATAGTCTAAGTACACACGGGTCACAGTTCTCTTAGGCATGGCCCTCTCTATCTGCGTCCCTTCATGCCATTCGTTAAAAGACGTGATGGTGACCATCTCCGGCCTCACGCTGAGCGCTGCCTGCAGGGCCGTCTCGTAGTAACGGCCATTTACCCTGTTGCGAGTGTTGTGATTGTTCCAAGGTCGAATGCTGGTGTCGATGTAACCAGGTCCAACGCTGGGGATGAAAAGAAGGTTGTTTCCGTCGCAGAAGGCCTTGATGGCCTTCCAGTTTTGGTGAGAGGAGCCAAAGGAGAAGCCGTTGGAAGCGAAGTAAGTGTACATGCCGTCGAAGCCGCCCGCGAGAATGTCATGCTTGTGCCGCTCCTCAACGATCAAAGCAATGAAAATAGAGTCATAGGCAGAGCCACGAACACTGTGGGAGCCTGTGGGAGTCAAAAATTCAGACCAGGACTCCGCTGGAGTCAGATAGGAGTCATAAATGTAGAAGAGCGGAAGGCTCTTCCCAGTGCTGGAGGTGAATCTGTAGAAAGCCCCATGGTCCCCATACCTTTAGAAACAAATAGGAGAAAAACAGAAACACTAAGTACTGAACTTATATATTATATTATATTAAATATCTGGCCTTTTTCAATTCTTTATTTTCCCAATTATTGTATAAATATAACCTTAAGCTCAGAATTAATAACAGTTTAATAACTAACCATGTACTGATTATTTCTGTGCAAAGGATTCATGCGCAAATATGTTTTCTCATGGTATGCAATATCTTCAGTACAGCATGCAGATTTTTTTACATCTAATATTTATAAGCATTTGCTTTCAGTTTGGGGCTTTTAAGTGTTTACTTATCGAGAACATTCCTTCATACCTTCTTTGATGCTAAAAGATTGAAAGGAAAAACTGCTTCCACATCAAAGTCCCATCTATAAGTCATGAATCTGGTCTTATATAATCTAAAAATGCAACCTAAAAGTCTTTCTGTGTTTTGGCCTCAGTTCCCTTAGTCATGCATGCAAACCTGATGGGTTTCTGTTTGAGTTGCATCAGAAAAGAGGAACATCCAGACGAGCGCCTACCTGTCGATGATGTACTTGATGTTGTCATGCACAGTCTGGTCATTTCTCCCTCTGTAGGGCTGGATGTGAAATGCAACCTGGGAAAAAAAAAACCCAAAACATAATGAAAGATGTGGTTTCTTAACTTTAACGCATGTCAAGGTATAAAGTATTGGATCTGTTCTTTTTTATTAAAGCCCTAATGTATTGTTCCTCCCTGAGGTCAGGCTTCTATATGGACCATAAATAACTCAAGAAAAGCTGCATTTTGTTGCTGTTAATCAGAGTAATTATTTGATCACTGCTGATTTTTTCAATTTTGTCACAGTAGGCCTCAGAATAAGACGCATCTGTTTTACCAGACAATAATCATAAAAAGAAAAAAAAAGCTAATGAACATCTTGTTATATTTAAAGGAGAAGTTCACTTTTTAACACTTTAAGCCCATTTTCTGTAGTGTCCAGGATGAAATCGAATGATCGACACCAAAGTTTTGACAATTGGTCCTGTCTCTGCTTTTTGGCTCATTTAGAATCACCCCCTGGCTGCTTTAGAATGGCTTCCATAGAGCATGTACGATAATGTCCTTAAAACAACCTTAAACGTTCTTTTTTTAAAATATGCTACTCACCGGGTCGTCAGCGCTGTTCAATGACGTTCCAAAAAAAGTTTCGTGAAGAAAAACCGTTCCTGTAGTGTTTTATTTAGCATTTTGTAAATCCCATTGAGTTCTGTTGGAATAGTCAATATTCCCCTGCCACCGGAAACGGAAATGGGGCCTGTTTACACAGTTGTAGTCTTTTCGCTTCACTCTGTGTACTCCGACGTCGAGGTGCTAACGTCTCTGTTAAACACTTTAAAAAACTCTGAAAATGGAATACGAAAGGTGGATTCTTGATTCTCGACGTCGGAGTACACAGAGTGAAGCGAAAAGACTACAACTGTGTAAACAGGCCCCATTTCCGTTTCCGGTGGCAGCGGAAAATTGACTATTCCAACAGAACTCAATGGGATTTACAAAATGCAAAATAAAACACTACAGGGACGTTTTTTCTTCACGAAACTTTTTTTGGAACTTCATTGAACAGCGCTGACGACCCGGTGAGTAGCATATTTTAAAAAAAGAACGTTTAAGGTTGTTTTAAGGACATTATCGGACATGCTCTATGCTAGCCATTCTAAAGCAGCCAGGGGTGGATTCTAAATGAGCCAAAAAGCAGAGACAGGACCAATTGTCAAAACTTTGGTGTTGATCATTTGATTTCATCCTGGACACTACAGAAAATGGGCTTAAAGTGTTAAAAAGTGAACTTCTCCTTTAAAATACTGTTATTTTCATCTAAGACTTTGTTTTGGGAGGGGGAGCAGTTGCAATTTTACAGGAGACCTGAGTGGTTTGCACATAAAAGTTGCTTAAAATAAATATTTTAAAGGAAAGATAGAAAATTCACAGTCGATGATGCATAATTTAATGTAAAACAAGACTTTAAAATCAGTGAAAACCCGCAGAGAACAATGTAAGAAAAAAACAGATTTATTTTGAAGTGAAAAAAAAGTTGCTAAGGTTATTTATTTAGCAAAGCTTTAAGTTCCAGGGGTCATATGGTACATCATTCATTTATAACATATGTCATCTTGGCTGGATTTTGTTGCACTTTATTGTTATTTGACACGGAAGGAGCAAGTTTTACAGATACAGAGCTCAGCAGGAAACTCCTATCAACATGTATTAGCTTCAAGTTGCTGCTTAATGCGTACGAAGCAGATTCATACAGTTCCTGGCAAAATAACCTTTCACACAAAAATGATTCACAGTTTTCTAAATTGCTTTACCGATAGAAATATGACAAATTTTCATTCAGTCGTTTTACCACCCCCAGAAAAAAGTCTGGTGCAAACAATTCCCTTAAGTAGGCACTTGAATTAGTCCACCTGTGTATTATTTTATCTCAGTAAAAAATAAATCTGTTCTCTAACGCGTCTGAGGTTCCAAACAGCATTAAACCTTTTAATGAGACATCTAAACCAGGGTTAAGCTTTGAAAATCTCATGGAGAAGCTGTTCAATTATTTATGTAAAAATGGACACAGACCTGTAAAGACATTACATACACCTACGGTATCTAGAAAAATGTTTACCCTTGACAGATTTCTTCTGTTATGTGATTTTTTTTTTTTTTTTGCCTGCTCAAGTGTTTCTAATCATTCATAAAAAGCTATAAGTTTAAACAAGCCAACCATGCTTAAAACCCCAAAATGTCTCTGAATTTAATAGATGTAAAAACTGCCCGTCATCCCACATCTCTGATTCTACTTCGGGTTCTTGTGTTCACAATAGAAATACAACTTGTCTGACTTTTTCGGTAAAATCTATTATATCATTTACACTTCACTTACCATTTTACACCAGTTTGTGTTGGAATATCATATGAAATCCCAGTACAATACAAAACATTTACATATTTTTACATCAATGTTAAAAACTACACGGAATATAAGTACTTTTGTAGACCCCATAAATAACCTGCCTGGATGTGGGCAACACAACTGTTGTTTCAATTTCTCTGTAACTGCAGATCTTTTGTTTTGAATCCATAATTTATGGAGCCATAATTTTCTGATGTGTAGTGCTGCTGAGAAGCCGATGTGCATCAAGATATAAAGCCACATGATCATCACCCACAGGGGAGACACAAAGCTGTTTTACTGCAGCTCACTGCAGACCCACTATAGCACTAATTCTCAATACACTCTATCAATAACTCTGCTGTAAATTTGAAGTAAATGAGTTTAAGCATCACCATATTTCATAAACACTTACAGTATGACCCTGAATGAACTGCAGAATGATTTATGCTGAGCAGAGAGGAATTTAATGTCATCTTATGCAGAAAGCACAAATGGAGGGATGTTGGCAAGCAAAAAAAAAAGAAAGAAAAGAAACTGATCTTTGCAGTGCTTAGATCATTTGCAACTAAGATTGGGACATTTTTGTAATTCAGATTGTCAGTAAAAGACACAACAACAGAGGGTCACAAAAAATAAAGTTTGGTCGATCACATGGGTCATTTTCCCCTGTGCATTTGACATGGCCTACTTACGTGACAGAACTTTTGCAACCCCTGAGGGTGCAGATTGTTCAGAGGCAAAAACTGACTCATGGGACTTTGATGCTCATTCCTCATTTCCTCCTCCACCAAGCTCCCAGGGTACCCCCACCACCCTGTCCCCACCAAACCACCCACACACACACCCTTGGGCAGAAGGCCTATTTCGGCTCCAGTTGAAGCTGAGGTCACCAAGCAGCAGCAGTAGCAGTGCTTTTGAGGCTCCATGTGATGAGCTCTCCAACTCTGCTGTGCAGAACTTGCAAGCTGTGTGTGGGAGCTGCTGAAAATACCTTTCACCTTATATAATGAAAACGCCATTGGTTTCTTTAGTAGTGTTACCCAAAGGTAGGTGATGGAGGATTTGTTGGCTGTAAGGTTTAGGATTGTTAGAATTGTTTGATTTCAGAAGTGTAAAAATTATAGGTCAGTTTCTTTCTATTTATGTTGATGTTAGGAAACAAAAAAGTACACCTCTTGTTTTTTTGTTTTAGAAAAACGAATATCCACTTGTTATTTAGGATTACCCTAATCTACTAATAATCTGATTTAAACACACAAGGTAAACTATATGGCTTCAGGCTGATTTGGCCTTTGCTAGTTAGTACCTTTCATGCCAATGTCTTACCCATGGATTAAAACCATTATGTAATGATTTAGTTTCTTTTGTAGTCTAAATTTTACTGAATTATAAAAATATGTTAAATGGTATTATAGTTATACATTTATTTTAATCTTAAAATTGTGTTTTTTATCTATTCAGTCTGGTTAGATATAATTTTTTTTGGTGTAATATCTTTATTAGCCTTTATGGCAGGTTACTTAAAATTATTTGAAATCGAAGATTCTCAAAACTAGTATGAAATATCCCTCTTGTGGGAACGAAATGATGGAAATGATGAAACCTTCCATGGTAGACAGCAACATTTGAAATCCCAAAAGGTGAGGTATGAAATAACCCAAAATACAGAAAAACTTATTTATTTATTTTTTCATCATTGTTCTTTAAGGGTACAACAAAAGTTTTAGAAGCTCAATGCAATATAAAACAAAACAGTGCAGGCAAATAGTGCAATAAAAAGCAAATAAATATAAAAAAAAGTTTCTAGTCATGGTGAGAACATCCATTTTGTTCAAATTTCAAACTTTTGCTGTTGATTTGTGAAAAACTAAGAATTTCAAACATTTTAGCGTTCATGATCACAACCATTTTTTGCAGCTCAACAGTTAGGCCGCAGGAAAACAGACCCTGGGCTTAATGGTACCATCTCCATGTTTGGCAATTACAGCAGTGGCTTTATGCTTAAAAAGATTTTACTTGACTTCTCATAGTATTTTTTTCCAAAACGCGATCTTGGTCTCTTCTGATTATAAAACGTAATATTATTAAAGAGAAATAAAATGTCTTTAGGGTGTTAAAACAGAACAATAAAACCCCAACAATTAAGTCTGGAGCTATAATTTGGACTGTGTGCCATTTACAGAAAATCCACCATAAATCTTAATTTGTGCACCAAATTCTCTTTCTTATATATTTCAATCACTGAAGTCTGTTTGGATTTGTAACATTTTGATTTCAGTTTAAAATATAATGATTAAAATGCAACTTCAAAGACCTAATTTATTATTACATTTCTCATAAAAACAGTCAAATTTTTAAAACTTTCAATTGCAAATTTTGTATAACTCCTTTTATCTTTTATTAGTGTTGTAGCTTACAACAGCTAGAAGACAAAGTTGGAAAGTGGTTCTATATTTTTTAAATTAAGTTATGATTCTGGTTCTGAATCCTTCAGGGCAGTTTTAGTGGCTTTCACTTATATGGTGCTTTATCAAGTTAGAAGACTTGACCAAGCGCTTTAAATTACATTCAGCCATTCACCCATTCACAGACTAATAGTGGCAAGCTACATATTAGCCACAGCTGCCCTGGGGATCAGTGACTGAAGCGAGGCTGCCGTATCATTGGTGTCACCAGGTGCTACCATCAGCAATGTGGTCGAAGTGAAAACGACACTGAAACCCAGAGCCAGGGTTTGAACCGACAATCCTTCAGTTGCAGAAACTCCTCAGTGGCAAACTCCTCCACCAGACACCACTGTCGCCCCATCAAAAGTGGCTTCGCATTTATGCTATTATTATTATTATCAGTAATTATTATTATTGTGATAATAACAGCATTATTAGTGTTATTTTAATCAGGAAAATGTTCTGATCCACAGTTCTGTTCCTCTGAAATCTAAGAGTGAACAAAAAGAAGGAATCTAAAAATACACGTTCTTCTCTGCAGAAGAAGTAAAAGGAGCTAGGTAGGAGGATGCTTAGAAAAATCTGCACTCAGATTTTATATATATTCAAAAGCATACAGTAACTCCCAGAAGATACAAGAAGATCTTGTATTTCAATGAGATGCTGACATGCTGCAGAATGAAAATGATTTGAAGCATGTCACTTTTCATTTTCTGTGTGCATTTAATGAAAAAAGACCTACTGTTCAGAGGAGAGATGACACCAAATCGGACAATAAACTCAGTCTGTTCGTTTTACTCCTGACAGCATTATATGTAAATCATTCGCAGACCCACAGTTGCATGTATTCCCTGCTAGTTCTTGTCTTGTCGCTCCAGATATATTTTATTTATTAGCCTTCAGCCAGTTTACTGAAGAGATAAATGTGATATAATATCTGACAGTGCAACTCCACAGAGTTGTTTATAAAGAGGACAGTGCCTCTGTTTGTCTGATGCACTGAAAAATGAACTATCAGAATTTTCAAATAATACAAACTCCATTCCAATAAATAGCCCTAATTATTTGCATGATAAGAATAGATAATCAACTTAAGAAAATACTCACATTTTTGTGTCAATGCCAAAATATTCATACCCTTGTTAACCATTTTGTCATGTTTAAACAGCTAAATAAAGTAAGGCAGCAGACAATCATAAGCACAGCATCTTTGGATGTCAAGCATGGAGGAGGGCAGGGAACATAGCAGAGCTGAATGAGACTTTGAGAAAATGTTGACAGCTAATGATGCTCTTTTTAAACTGAGAAGCTCTCCCCTGCATAATAAAAATATGAATCTGAATATGACATTTGCAATCTTATGTAAGAAATTCTGTAAGATTAAAAATGACTCTAAGCGTCATATTCACAGCTCTAGCAACTGGAGTTTGTCACCTACAGTTCCACTCAGACACAGTTTACAGCTGGTTCCTGGTTGTTTATGTTGCATAAACCTGATTTCCAACCATGAGCCTTTACACAACGTACTGCAAGTGGGAACAAATACTTAGTCATCAGGCACATTATTAAGTCACAGATTTTCCATTCTGTCCTGGACAAACTCATTTTCAGTCTGCAGGAAGTTTTGGTCCATCAGGACCAAAACCTCCTGCTCTCCAGAAATGGTTGTTGATTTTGTAAATTTTCAATATCTGCAACATTGCTCTTTTCCAGCTAAAAGTTGTTCTATTTTCCTCTATTCCTATACAACTTTCATTGTTTATTTCACAATTTAATAATTCCAAATTTATTTATTTGCTTAATATGTTTGCATCCTACACTGAAGCAAAATCATATGTGAATGATATACTTGGTAATGAGGTTTTTTTCTAACTCTGACGCTTAAACATAAAGCTGGAAATGAAACTCATTCAAATTTATATCGATTGTCATTTTAAAGGTGAAATTCATCCATCCATCTATTTTCTACCCTGCTGTGGTTGCAAAGGGTGCTCTGTCAATGGGCAAGAGTCAAGGTGCATCCTGGACAGGTTGCCAGTCTATTGCAGGGCAACACAGAGACAACCGTCGGAACCTTCTTGCTGCAAGGCAGCAGTGCTACCCACTCTCCCACTGTGCAGCCCAGTTTAAATTCAATAACTATGAAAATATCATTTAAAAGAGTTAATACAAAGTCAATTGCAATCAGCAAATATGAATAAAACAAAATGTCTCTAGGATTCCATATGTGATCTTTGTGTTTATCCATTTCTTTTAATGGGAAACAAGTAAAGCAAAAGTGTCCAGAATTTTTAGGGAACAGAATATGGTTATCATCCAGGGCCCTTTTTTGTGAAACCAACATAAGAAGTTAAGTCTGTATTTTCTGAATACCCGGATGTCAGTTTCACAAAAGCAGTAGCACATACTGTAAATTACCATGGTGATCTATTCTCTGCAGCTGGCCTGTGCCTGACCAGGCTAACAGCCAAGCTCCTTCTCCTTCTTCTTTGGATCATTGACAGGTAGTGGCATTACTGGCATCTAGTGTGGATGGACCGTGGATCAGAGTATCTGATTAACCAGTTATACATTGCTTTATTAAGTTTATAATTTAGAGCCATATTTGGGGCTATTTAATTAAGTTTTTCCTGCTAGATGACTTCCATGAAGTACTCCGGATTTGATGTGTGTCCTGCATTGAAGGCAAAAACCAGCTACTATGCTGCAGAGATTAAATATGAACCCATAAAAGGGTCTCACAGGTTTGCCCTCTTAAAAGAATAACAAAACAAAAAAAAAACATAGAATATTCTTACTTTTTATTCATCATCTATATCTAGTTGTTCTTGTTGGTCTATTTTCATTAATAAGAACACGATGACTCACTCTAGCTTTATTTAGCAATGTTTGATAAATGGGTAAATACGCCCAACACTGCTTTTCAGTATTAAACAAAGGGTTAGTTAGAGGTGAATTTCACAATTTCAAGAAGTGTTAATTTGTCTGTGCATCTTTTTTAGTAGGCCAATGTAAAAAACAACAACTGGACTTATTTTCTGTTCTGCTGGTTAGTCGCAGGTAAGATTTAGATTTTTTTCAAACTGTCACAAACTGTGCAAGAAATTACATTATTACTTTATTGAAGTCTAATAAATTTACATCATACTATAAATGCAACTAAATACTTTTCGTTGTGTTGGTCATTTGGAAGTTCTTTTCCACTTGAAGTGTGGGAAATAAGATCTCTTTTATTTGAAGGTGTTTTCTCTTTGGAAACTTCTATCAAACTTCTGAGCTGCATTAATGATGAAACATGACTACGCTGAAGTTGAGTTTAAATAGAACAGATCAATAAAGACATCAGACTTCCATACTTGCCACAAGGTAGGGTACATATCCAGAGGAAAAAACATAGCAGAATGTCATGCTTTAGAGGACATTGGATTCATTAACTCCTCTCTGAGCATTTCGTCCACCAGCTTTTAGAACTCTATCCACGTTTACAAAATGTGCTGATGCATTTTACCTTCAGGTTGTGTCTGTATGCAGCATCCAGTACAGCTGGCACCAAATCCTCAGCTGGTTCCCCGTGGTCGTCAGCAAGGCCAGGAGGATACCAAGACAGCACCAGAACCCCTGAAAACAGAAAAGGACATCAGGATGGAAATCTGCATTTTTCTTTTTAGGGTCTCATTCTTCTCATCTCTTGGATGTTGTGGTATTTACATTGACACGTCTGGATTTCTCATCACAAGCTGTCATGTTTGTTTAAGAGGATATGCCTTAACACAATTTGGGGCTTTGACAGCTATGAACTTAAAATGACTTTGATGATGATGGTGATTATATCTAAAAAAAAAAAAAAAAAGTCACTGATTTTATCTAGTTACAAGTTTTTCTTTTTTCTTATTTAATATGACTGTAAAAAGCATCAAACTTACTTTGTATTCAGCCCCATTTACAGGTTAGTTAATAAGTTGATGGAGCTCTTCTGTGTGAAATTTAATCTCAGCATGAACCAGACTGTTCTGTAAAATCCTCCGACTCAGAACAGACAAAGAGTATATAAATCAGAGAAGCAGCCAAGAGGCTAAATGGCAATTGTTTAAGGGCTGTAGAGATTTACAGCTTAAGTTGAAGAATCTGATGTTAAAACAACCATTGGTCAGCCACACTACACATCTGGCCTTGTATCTCAGTGAGGCAAAAGGTAAAAAGAGCAATTCTGAGAGAAAGGAATAGCCAAAAATCCTAATTGATTAGCCTTTAAAGAAAAAAAAATACCGTAAGGAAAAAAGTTCTAAAAACCTATTTATATTTTTGTCTTCTACATTTAGTGTTATGTGCATCTTATAGTCGATCAATTTCATAAACTAATCTAAGATTTAACAAGACAAAATATTTTTATAAGGCACTATATATCACCTGCATTAGTCGCTGGCTGCAGAAGGAAACTGGCATACCAGATATGCAAATGAAATCCATTAAAGTTATTAAACTGCAATACTTACTCATATCTATGTGTATAAACAATGAGACTATCCTTATTAATTACTGCGTGTGACAAAGATGAGACAGAAAGTCACTTATCATCTCCACTGATAGCTTGGTTTGGCTGTTCATTGTCTCTAATTAATTGGGTTGTTTTAACTAAGCCATAAGAGCCAGCCCTCCCATGGTCCATCTGTTAAAGCGTTGAGCTTTCAGAGGATTGTATGGTCTGCTCATCAGTCCGGATGGTGTACAATAACCCAGGAGGCCGTAGAAGAGAAACATAAGTCACGTGTATTCTAACACGAGTCTGTTACTTGACACCCTGCAGCAGACCTCAGATGTCTTTAGAGCCGGAGAAGGTTTTGGAAAGGCAACAGCATGTACGCATTTATAATGGATGATATTTTTCAAGAACTACTTGAAGGCCACCAATGAGGACATAGAAGCATTCATTAGTAGTTAGCCTCCTGGGTCAATATTGTGTATTATAAACTTTCACCAGGATAAGAGATTTAAACTATTTAGAGTTTATCTAAACAATTTCCACAAAATCAGTTGGGTTCATGTCTAAACTTTGATTGTGTCAATTGTTGTCCTGTTGGAAGGTGAAACCCGCACAGTATTAAGTCTTTTGAACCTTGTTTTAATATTTCAAAAGCCAGAGAAACATTGTCTTGTTTTCTTTAACCAGTGAAAGTTTGAGCTGCATCATTTTTACCACTAGTGAGCGAGTAACCAATGTCTGTCGTATTTCTAAATCAATCAACTAGAATTTTCCCCCCACTTTTCTGCTATGTCTATGGTATGGCTCTCTGTTAATAGTAGTTTCTGTCAATATTCTATAAAGACCAGATTCATGAAGTGTTGCTGTCAGCACAATTCTTTCCTGGGTGGATTTAATTTATGGTCACATAAGTGCTTTAATGTAGAATAAACAAAACAATATAAACACATTTAGGAGTTTTTCGTTACATGACAAAAAACATGAAGGATTTTGTTTTCTTTTTCATCCCTCAGAAGTGCTGGACAGCTCCACCTGCTCAGGGAGCTGTCCAGCTGATAGAGGTGCTGAAAGCGTCCAGCTGCCTGATCAGCTGTTTGCTGTAAAAACACTCTCAGCTGTTTTAGTCCCCAGAGGAACCAGTGCCTCTCAGAGCTCCATACCTGCTGCGGAGGTTCCGATCTGCTCCATGTGGGATTCCAACACATCCGGATCCCGGGAGCTGTACGGATTCAGCTCCGGATAAAAACTGGAGGCGATGTCTTCGGGCGGCATGTGTCTTCCTCTCGGGTAGCTAGATGCCACCTTGGGGTCCCAGTGTGGAACCAGGATGTGATCCCAGTGGATATATTTCCCGTCCATGTGCGGGCTGCCGTACCAAGTGTAATAAAAGATGTGAACGTCATAGAAAATGGTCCCATACGGACCGGAGAAGGACAGAGCCGCTTTAGAGTTGTCCCCGTGCGGGTGAGCTTGAACGGGGGACGCAGAGGCTTTTCGGGACATCCTCCCTCCTAAGATCGGAAGGAGCTCCAAGCCAGGAGCCAAGTCCGAGAAGCCATCAGTGGGCTTCAGGGTCCTCAGTCCCATCAAAGTCCCAAAGATGAAGAGGGTGAAAAGGAACAGGGCAACGCAAGCCTTCCTCCGCAGCCTCGCCATTGTTGCTAAAGGTTGCATGGGATGAAAACGATGCAAGTATCAAGATGAGACTCAACTGAGAACCTGCAGGGAACTCTGTGAGTATCCTGAGAAGATTCAGCCCAACTATGCATGACTGCTGTCCGATCGCAGCAGACAGGCTGGCGCAGCAGAGATATTCAACTTTATCTTTCTCCACGGGTCTCTCATTTTGATGAGTTAAGAAACATACTAACGCGATTAAAACATTAGAAAGGGGGGAAAAGTCACTCTCTAAAAACAAAACTGAGCTGTCGTTTTCTCTTTGCTCCACTCCACTACCATCCAACACATGACCGGCGTCCCACAGCAGAAGTGATGCTCTACAGTGTCGGTGTTTGACAGCCCCCGTGGTTGGCTGGCTTCTGCTTCCACAGTTTCTATTTTGGACACAAAAGAGGCGGAACCCAAAGCCTCGTCATCTAATAGACTGAAGTCTGCATGGCTGCACAGCCGGAACACGACGCCCTCTTCATTATGAGGCAAAAACTTCTTAGAGTATATATACTTTCTCGAGTAAGAAGATTTAAAAGAAAAAAAAAAAAGATCAAATTTTCCTGGGTTAAAACACAGGTGGTTGCTTTTCCAAAACTGACTCATTTCTATTACTGCCATCTTGTGGTTTATTTATGAAACAAGCGTGTTCCTATGAAAAGATGGAACTGACTGAGCATGTTTATATATATATATATATATATATATATATATATATATATATATATATATATATATATATATATATATATATATATATATATATATATATATATATATATATATATATATATATATATATATATATATATATATATATATATATATATATATATATATATATATAGTAGAGATGGAATATGATTACCTAAGCAGTAACTGAGCAGCTTCTTTGGATCCTAAACCTAAAAAGGATTAGTTATGTAGAAGCAGTAACTGAGTACCCTTTAATGAGTCTTTCATTTCAGTGCAAAGATTATAGTTTTAAAAGTAGATTATGTCATCTATCTTCTTGTTAGAATCATGGCATCATAAAACATAAAAAGGATACAGTATTGTTAAAATATATATATATACATATTTGTGGTAGATGAATGATGAAATGTTTGCTTCTTCCAGTTATCCGTCATGGTGGCGGTGTGGCTGGTGCATATCTCCAGCAAACTGGGGGGAAAAGGCAGGGTACATGATGCTGGACAGGTTGCCAGTTTGTTGTAGGGCAACACAGGAGACATATAACCATGCCTACAAACCTTAAGGAAAATTTAGAGATGCCACTTAACCAAACAGTCGTGTTTTTGGAAAGTGGGAGGAAGTCAGAGTACCCAGAAAGAATCAAGGCATTAACATAGAGAACATGCAAACTCCATGCAGAAAGATCCTAGGCCAGGTATTGAACCAAAAGACCTTCTTCCTGCAAGGCAATGGTGCTATAAACTGTTCCACCGTACAGAAAATAATAATTTACATAAAGTGAATATTATTTCTTTAAACTCTTCTATATTTGCTGAATGGTAGAAGTCAGAAGGACCACAAACTGAACATTTTTAAGGAAGCACACAGACGTAGACTGGATATTTTTATCCAATATCTGCATTTACTTTCTGATTGTTCTTTTCTCTTTCTTTTTTTAAAGCAGAAAAAAACTTTTATATATATATATATATATATATATATATATATATATATATATATATATATATATATATATATAGTAGAGATGGAATATGATTACCTAAGCAGTAACTGAGCAGCTTCTTTGGATCCTAAACCTAAAAAGGATTAGTGATGTAGAAGCAGTAACTGAGTACCCTTTAATGAGTCTTTCATTTCAGTGCAAAGATTATAGTTTTAAAAGTAGATTATGTCATCTATCTTCTTGTTAGAATCATGGCATCATAAAACATAAAAAGGATACAGTATTGTTAAAATATATATATATACATATTTGTGGTAGATGAATGATGAAATGTTTGCTTCTTCCAGTTATCCGTCATGGTGGCGGTGTGGCTGGTGCATATCTCCAGCAAACTGGGGGGAAAAGGCAGGGTACATGATGCTGGACAGGTTGCCAGTTTGTTGTAGGGCAACACAGGAGACATATAACCATGCCTACAAACCTTAAGGAAAATTTAGAGATGCCACTTAACCAAACAGTCGTGTTTTTGGAAAGTGGGAGGAAGTCAGAGTACCCAGAAAGAATCAAGGCATTAACATAGAGAACATGCAAACTCCATGCAGAAAGATCCTAGGCCAGGTATTGAACCAAAAGACCTTCTTCCTGCAAGGCAATGGTGCTATAAACTGTTCCACCGTACAGAAAATAATAATTTACATAAAGTGAATATTATTTCTTTAAACTCTTCTATATTTGCTGAATGGTAGAAGTCAGAAGGACCACAAACTGAACATTTTTAAGGAAGCACACAGACGTAGACTGGATATTTTTATCCAATATCTGCATTTACTTTCTGATTGTTCTTTTCTCTTTCTTTTTTTAAAGCAGAAAAAAACTTTTGCTTTCAAAGCTTTTGACTCAGAGGATTGATTTTTATTGGAATTAAACATCCCCATAAGAGGTATGCATAAGGGGGGCATAAAATTTCCCACTGTATAAATTGATGTTATAAATTTCCTCCTAACATCCCCAAAGAAGTTATGACAGCTTGCTGTATTAAATTCAGTTGTGCAGTCCAGGAAGATTTGGATTATGGCCCAGGCATTAAAGCATATTTTAGAGGCACTGACCTCAACAACATGAACCCTCTGTCTTAGTGATATGCTATTATATTATTGTTCTTATCCAATAAAAGGTTTTGTCTAAATGAAAACCATGGAGGCTTTATCTCTGCATTGTAACCATCATCCAATTTCACTGTCTTCTCAAATAATGAAATTAGGAAATATAAAAATCATTATCAAAGTTGACAGCAGAAGAGCATATGGCATTTATTTTTTTCTAGCATGAATACTAAAACCTATCATCTTAATTATGTGAATTCAGCACCAGTTTTTAGGACAAACAGTGTCAGAAAACAATGAGGATTTATGAAATATTGATTTCTTATCTTAATATTCTCTGACAGTCTCTGCTCCAACAGCATCAACATGCATATATCAACAAACAGTTTTATAAGTAGTATCCCAAGTGTTAAACAACCTACATGGCTTTGTTGAATGCATTATCCAACGAGAGAAAGTGTATAGCAAAACTGTAATTCTAGCAGGATTCAATTGTTCACCTGGACTGAATGGCAGGAGAAAACAGATTTAATCCATGAAGCAGTGAAAATATTGATTATACAGTTGTGGGAAAAATAGTGCGTGTCCCTAGTACAAGAAAAGCAAAAATCCACAATGATCACAGACATAACTTGAATCTGACATAAGAAATAATGAATAAAAGATTCTAGGAAAATGAACAAATGAAAGTCAGACATCGCTTTTCAACCATTTTCAACAGAATTGTTTTAAAAGTAAACTCAGGAAATAATCCTGAACATGAACATGATTTGATGATGATGAAAATAATGTGACCAAAGGGACATTTTCAATCAAAGTGTGTCCACTAATTGCCATCAGGTGTCACCAATCATGTGTGGGCCAATATATGGAGCTAACGGTAGTCACTGTGCTGCTTGGTGACATGGCGTGTACCACACTCAACATGGACCAGAGGAAGTTAATGCCCTCACATTGAAAATCCCCACTGGATTATTAAACATGCATTTCTTCACCATATTGTGTATGTTTGCCATTATTGCTTTTAGACCTTTTCTCCCACACCTTTTCCTTCCACTGAACGTTCTGTGTATACATAAATGCTGTTAACGTTCAGCTTCTTCAACAACTTCTTTTTCCAGCATATACTGTTTTTAGAGGGTGTCCTGGGCTATCTGCCAAACAACTACAAAGCCAGGAGTCTTGATCCTGATTGTATTAGCCATTACATGACAAGGTTAATTTTTTCATTTACTCTAACATTAAAATTGTCTGGTGAAAAAGGAACCTTCAATGGTTTAAAGCCATAGTTAACAAGAGTGCATGAATAAAAGCCACTTATACCATGAATGAGCTTATTAATTGGTTTGACTCCATATTCTCTTTTAGTCTCTTATAATTTTTTATCACGTTCAGATAGAAACAACCAATCGTTTTTCAAACTCCTATTTTGTGTATCATCTGTTTGCAACATGGATGTAATTGGGGCTTTTATTTTTTTGTGTGTATCCAATGTCATGCTTTTTAGGGGGGGCCACAAGGGGTCGTTGTGGCTGCATTGAAGAAATGTATTGACAGGCTCCTCTGCACATCCATCCTGGCGTCACAATGATACAAAAACTTCTATTTATACTAACTGTAAAATTCTAATAAAGTTTTCTATGCAATGCTGGTTTGTATAACATATGTCATGATTAATCTTCTTTGTAATCTTCACATATAAAATATTTTAAAAGCCTTTAACAGAGTTGGGAGATTAATATTACATTTCTGCCTCTGACAGCGTTTCAGTAATTACAGTAAATTCATAGTTTAAGTTTAATTGTTTCTTTCCTTTTCGTTTGATGTCGATAAAAAAGACAAAACTCAATAAATAAATAAAATATAAATAGAGAAATATACAAATGCATTAATTTCCCTTCTCTTATTTTGCTCCTTTTGACATATTAAAAAAAATACATTCCGTTTTAAAATCTGTTCATTTTGATTTTAACTCTTTTGTTTTGAAGTTCTTTTTAGATTTTTTTTTTCCTTTTTTAAGGCGTCGACCACTCAACAAAAGAGGAGAGTCCACATCTTAACCTTCTGTGATCAATCACTATTGATCCATGAATACGTTTGCTTGTTTAATCAGCGTCATGTTGATGTAAAACGAGTCAGGCTTGCATATTTGTTTGCTGTGTTGGTTTTTGCATTGTAACAAAAACGTAAGAAAGAATGTTTTCTTTTTTGCAAATGATTCAAATTTTATTTAAACTGCAATCAACTGTAACAAAAAAGTTCAAGGACCACTACTACTTTATCGAATCTCCTTGTTCTTATTATTGAGAAAAGAAAAATAAGAATGGAAGACTGCAAAAACAATCCAGAAATAAGTAAACATTTCTTAAACCAAGTGTATTTACCCTTAATTTTAGTAAACAAGATGATTTGCCAATTGAATGAGTATTTCTACTCTTAAAATAAGATAATTAGATAATATTGGCTTGTTTTTTCTTATTTTAAATGTAAATTGTCTTGTCCCATAGGCAAACTCTTTCACTTACCTCCTCCATTCAAAACAAAATGCACTTATTATAAGAAAAAAATACTTATTTAGATTTCCGTTTTTTTTTTTTTTTTTTTTTTTTTTGTGGTGAAGGCTTTAAAACAGTC